TCTGATAGAACCTGGTGGACCCCTGAGACTATGGCCCCTAGTCACTCTTCAGGTCTGGAACTAAACTCACTCCTATGGCTTCCAGCCAAACAATAGACAGGCATAGGGGATGAATATTTACATCTCATAGATACACTCCTTGGAGCAATCAATCATGGGAGAACAGAAGGGCAGTTTGCACAGGGAGATAGTTAGAGGGTGGGGGGTGGGGCAGAAGTATATGGGAGGGAAGGACACAGGGGAAAGATAACCTGGGGAGGAAGTGGGAAGAGAGCTGTTACATTGTGGGGAATTGTAGTAAACTTCATGAAACACAATGTGTATGAACTGCTGTGTGGAAAATGAATTTGCTCTGTAAACTTTCACACAAATCACAATAAAAATAAAATAAATAAAACTTACTCTAAAGCAAAGATGTGAAGGTAATAGGCAGGGAAACTACAGTGCTAGAAATAGTACAACCAGAATTGAATGAATGAGAATGATGACACATTGTGAAAAGTGTAACCAGTATCACTAAATAATTTGTGTGGAAATGGTTCAATGGGAGCCTGATTTGTTGTGTAAACTTTCATCTTAAACAATAGTATTCATGGCCTACCATATGGTCTATCGTGGAGAATGTTCCATGTGCACTGGAAAAGAATGTATATTGTGCTGTTGTTGGCTAAAGTGCTCTGTAGATATCTATAAGGTCAAGTGGGTGGATTGTATTGTTTAGTTCTTCTGCATCTCTGTTGAGTTTCTTTCCAGTTCTATCTTTCATTGAAAGTGGCATATTAAAGTCTCCTACTATGACTGTGGAGTAATCTATTTGTCTTTTCAATTCTGTTAAAGTCTGATTTATGTATTTTGGGGCTCTTTCATTGGGCCCATAAATATTTACTATGGTTGTATCTTCTTGTTTGATTTGATCCTTTAATCATGTATTATCCTTTCTTGTCTTTTATGGTGGTTTTTGTCTTAAAGTCAATATTATCAGAAATTAATATTGCCACTCCTGCTCTTTTTTGGTTGCCATTTGCTTGATGTATTGTTTTCCAACCTTTGATTTTTAAGTTTATTTTTGTCTTTGTTTCTAAGGTATGTCTCTTGTAGATAGCATATTGATGGGTTATGTTCTCTTATCCAGTCTGTAGCTCTCCCTTCGTCTCTTGAGTGGTTCATTTAATCCATTCACACTCAGTGTAATTAGCGACAAGTATGAATTTGTTGCTGTCATTTTGTTATATTTGTTATATAATTTCCTGTGCTGAGCTCATTTTGTTTATGAATTGTTTTATCATTTCCATCATTGCTGTTGTTTTAGTATTTGCTAAATATCTGTGCTTGTCCTCTTTTTTATCGTGATGTGAAGACTTGTCATTTTCTCCCCGAGTTTAGAACAATCCATTCTATCCTCTAACTTTCTTGACTTCCTCACCATTTAGGAGTTCTGTAACTACACTATTTTTCTCCTCTTTTTGGTTTATAGTTGTCTTCATTTGCCAATTGATGTCTTTGGTTCCCTATTTACAATTTTGTAAGCTTATATAACTTAAGGGGTTGTTTTCTGGGTTATGTCATCTTGTGTATTAACGGTCAGTTGTTGTTTGCTGTTATTGAGTCTCTGTTCAAAGGACTCCCTTTAGTATCTCTCTCTCTCTTTTAAAAAACTCATTTAAAGGTTTTATTTTTAATAATGAATGGAATGTGATTGTGTCAAACATCTTTCCAGTGAATACTGAGATTGTTGTTGCTGTTAGGTGCCATGGAGTTGGCTTCAATTCATAGCAACCCTATGTACAACAGTACAAAACACTGCCTAGTTCTGGGCAATCCTCACAATTGTTGCTATGCTTGAGCCCATTGTTGTAACCACTGTGTGAATCCATTTCATTGAGGGTCTTCCTCTTTTCCACTGACCCTCTACCTTTTAAAAAAAAAAACAAATACCTTTTATTGAAATATAATTTAGGTACAGTGAAAAACATGAAACTAAAATGACATGGGGAGCTCTGGTGGTATAGTGCTTAAGGCATTTGACTGCTAACCAGAAGGCTGGTGGTTCAAATCCACCAGTCACTCCTCAAAAGGAAGATTGGGCAATCTACTTCTGTAGAGATACCACCTCAGAAACTCAAGGAGGGGTCGCTATGAGTCAGAGACAACTCAATGGCACATAACAACAACAACAAAAAAAGTGATATGGGTCAATGCATTTTTTTTTTCAATGCTCCCTCCCCTCCCCTCTCACCCCTGGTAACCAACAAAGAAAGTTTCCTTCCATATATAAACATTCTCCTTGACTTTTTACAATAATGGACTAATACTATATTTGTCTTTCTGTGATTTATTTATTTCATTCAACATAACGTCCTCCAGGTTCATCCACGTTATGTGGGGGTTTGCAGATTCTACATCATTCTTTCACTCCTCAGAAGGAAGGTTGGGCAATCTACTTCTGCAGTGATACCATCTCAGAAACCCAAGGAGGGATCACTATGAGTTGGGTCCGACTCAACGGCAAATAACAACAACAACAACAATACATCATTCTTTAGTGTCGCATAGTATTCCATCATGTGTATGTACCACAGAGACTGAATGGTTGCCATTCATTCTATCTTGCAGTTGTCTTGACTTTCCTACCATTTAGAAGTTCTGTAGCTGCATAATTTTTTCTCTCTTTTTGGTTTGTAGTTGTCCTTATTGTTTTGTATTGCCTCTGGTTCCCTGTTTACAATCTTGTAGGCTTATTTACTTTGGATACTTCCATAACTGGGTTGGTTTCTGGGTTATGTCATCATCAAGTGTGTTAATGGTCAGTTGTTGTTTGCTGTTGTTGCTTCTCTGTCCAAAGGATTCCCTTTAGCATCTCATGTCAGGTTGTTCTGGTTTTAACAAATTCCCTTAATTTCTGCTTATCTGAAATGTCCTACTTTCACCATCATATTTGAGGGACAATTTTGCTGGGTATATAATTCTTGGTTGGACATTTTTCTCTTTTGGGGTTTTATATATACCATCCCATTGTCTTCTTGCCTGCATGATTTCTGCTGAGAAATCAGAGCTTAGTCTTCTTGGTTGCCCTTTGTAGGTAACTTTTCATTTTTCCCATGCTGCTTTTCAGGATTCCTTCTTTGCTTTTGGTTTTGGTGAGTTTGATGATGATATGTCTTGGTGATTTTCTTTTGGGGTCTATCCTGTTTGGGGT